TGGTCTGCACTACTGGTGGAGGCCTGCTGATGTAATAATTTATGTGTATGTACTTATATATATGTGGTAAATACTATTAAATACTAATTAATGACTAGCTATGGTATGGCTTTAACCTTTATATTGGATTATCTTCTAAACTAATAGAGATAGAGGTATGGTTTTAGTGAGTGACTATGGGTAAAATTGTATGCAGATTCTGATTATGCAATAATATATTCATATATGTAAGTGGTTTAGGTTGTAAGGTAGGGGTTTTGGCAGTTTTGTTGCGCACAACAGCCTGGACCACCACATTCCCCCCCAAATTAATGCTGTCCGCAGCATTCCTGGTGTAAGCAAGAAAACTGCCCCAAGCCTCTAGTTGACTAATTTTAATTCATTAATATGTATTGATTCATAACTGATATCCTACTGATTCTCCTTTTCTTCATGACTTGGTCCTTCTGTTCATCTGATTGGGTTTCCACTTTGATTGAGTTTCCGCCGTCCAGGTTTTTCTTCATTGTAACTGATTTCTTCCTCTTATTCCCAAATTATAATATACGTTTGTCCTTGTTATTCTCCTCGTCTCGTTCTCCGCCTGCCACGTCCAAATCAAAGGCTCCAAATACGACTCTCTTTCATTCTATTTCATGGGTATTAGTCCAAGGAAAAGGCTGGTGGTTGATGTATTTGAAGGCTGTTCCAAAAAGAAAGGTCTCCAACCGCTGAGTCGAATGGGCTTTTGAATACACGTTCAATTCACCGTCCCCCCGGAAGGATTCCTTAACTATTTCTTCCACATTTTCATTCTATTTTTCCTTCACATCGATAATATCTATTCAAGTCTAAACTATATTACTATTTAGTATAATTGGTTGATCTGCTATCTTCTGAACTTTCTTCCTGTTTTAGTTTCTGATCTCTTTTTCCGTGTTATTCCAATAAATAAAGCCTCCAGTCCTTGTTATTTAAAAAATTTGTTTCCGTATAGTATCCGTTGTTCTTCTCTTCAATCAATGGCCTAGAATTTGCCTTCTACTGACTTGTCGCTGTCTTCGTTACTTTCTCCGGAGTTGGATTCTTCTTCCTTCCCACTTTCATTATTACTACTATTACCACTTATTTCATCTTCCAGCCCATTTTCTTCCTCTTCTTCCAATGCCTCCTCCGTAAGGTGTCCAATTGTATTCATTTTTGAGTCATGTAGGTAGGAACTTCCAGTGTGATTGATATTTTTGAAATGTTGATTGAATTCACAGTTTTAGGTCATATGGGACCACTCCCAGTGTTTCTGGAAGTATCTTGAATTTTTGCTGTTTAACATCATGCAAAACCTAGATTTGTCTTGAAGTTTTGCAGTTTAAGGTCATATAGGACCTCTTCAGTTTTGAGTTTATATTTTAAGGTCATACAGGACCTCTTTCAGTTTTGATTTTGCAGTTTAAGGTCATACAGGACCTCCCATTGTGATTGATAATTTTTGAAAAAATTTGATTAATTTCACAGTTTAAGGTCATGTGGGACCATCCCCGGTGTAACTGAGTTTTCTGAGCCTTGAAGTAATGCAGTTTAAGGTCATACAGGACCTTTTTCAGTTTTA